TTTCAAAGTTGGAATGAGGGGGATCTCCTCAAATATATGTTGGCTATTGGAATGAACCAAATAATTTCAAAAATAAATCAGTTTTTGCTTTGTACATTACATAAAGCCTTTGACTATGGCTTATGAAAAGCTATGGGTGTAACAGAAACGTGTTTGCCTCAACACTTCATCAGCCTGAGGCATAACCTATACTGAGGACAAGAAATTACTGCAATGGCAGAATATTGAGAAACAGATTGGCTTCCCATAGGCAAAAGCATCAGACAAAGGTGCATTTTACCTTCTTATCTGTGCAATTTATATGCAGAACATTCTGTAAGAAAAATTGGATTAAAATCAGGTGGAGGAAAAGTGAAAATTGGTGAAAGAAACATCAATAATTTAAGATATGGCTATGCAAATACAACCACTTAAGCAGTAGTCTGGATTGTGTGGATTGGCTTTGAGGGGAGCTGTGGCATTAGCAGACTTACCTTGCAGGGTGAGGTGCTCACAGCACTCATCCTCCCGTGTTAGTCCTTCCCCAGTGCCCATTCCTGCTCCATGGTTTCCCCATATGGGATCACTCTGAGACTCCTCCATGTTGCTTCCATCAGCCCATGCCTCTCTCCCTCCCTTCCCCACTCCACTGGCAAAGACCAGGCATACCTGCCAGGGCACCGAGCCCTGCGGGGTGGGCATGCTTCTTTGAGAAAGTGCCTTGATCCTGGCCGCTTTTCCTTCTCTACTTCCCCTGGTTGAATTGATGTTCAAACATGCAATACTGGTAAAGAATGACCCGATACATTATTGGAACAAAATAATACAACCCTCTCAGCAAGGAAGAAATATTCCACAGTTACACCGCTGACTGGGAAAATCATTCGATAATGGCCATGCATCGTGTGATCGGAAATTTATGCAACAATCTAACTCACTGGTTCTTAACCTTGGGTTACTCAGGAGTTTTGGACTGCATCTCCCAGAAGCCTTCACCACCAACTGTGCTGGCTGGGGGTTCTGGGAGTTGCAGTTCAAAAACATCCGAGTAACAAAGGTTAAGAACCACTGATCTAACTGAACTATAAGGTAAAGGTAAAGGTTCCCCTTGACATTTTAGTCAGTCGTGTTTGACTCTAGGGGGCGGTGCTCATCCCCGTTTCCAAGCTGTAGAGCCAGCGTTTGTCCGAAGACAGTTTCCGTTGTCACGTTGCTTGCGCAGCTATACACAGAATGCTGTTTACCTTCCCACCAAGGTGGTACCTATTTATCTACTCGCACTTACATGCTTCCGAACTGCTAGGTTGGCGAGGAGCTGGGACAAAGCGACGGGAGCTCACTCCGTCGCGTGGATTCAATCTTACGACTGCTGGTCTTCTGACCCTGCAGCACACAAAGACTTCTGCAGTTTAGACTGCAGCGCCACCACGTCTCTTTTAACTGAAGTATAACTAGGGAATATTTGGCTGATGTGATCAGGTCCTTAGACTCATAATCTAATATTTGAGCACCATAGGGAAAAACATGTTCACTCAGAGGTAGCATACATATTATGTAAACTTCAGTCTTTCATAACCTGACAGAGTAAATGTCTTTACTCTGCAGTCACATAGTCGCCTTTCCCAATTTGAACATGAGTACATGTAATCTACACATTGAATTTTCCACAAAAGAATGTTGTCTAGCATAAAAGAGTTTTCTACAAGGAAATATGCAACAACATGCTTTATGCCATAACAAACTATGGTTAAAACAGGAACAACAACATAAGAACTCAGGAATTCAGTTTACAGGGAGAATAGCCCAAGTTTTACACACAAAGCAAAACAGATCTTTCATGTCCTCCCAGCTGCTTCAAGGAGCATACCATAACATCAAACAGATGGATGCGCCTAATATTAGAAGAAGCCTTTATTTATGTTGAACATGAATCACTTGTTCTCTTCATCAAACACAGTCAGGCCAAACCAAACCTAATAACCCAAAAGAGGAACTTGGACGGCATTTCAATTCCTGCTTCTAACAAAATTCCCATAAAATCCTAGCTTATGGATTCACCCCGAAATAACTCAATTTGAGTAATTTGGCTTACACTTCAATATGGCACTTTTCAGTAATACAGAAGAAAATGTTGAGTCCAATTTAATACCAATTGTTACTATTCTTTTTTTAATAAACATTTTATTAGTTTTTCAATCTATCTACATTGTTTTGTGTTTGTCAAACATTGTGTTACATGCTTTGCTTACAATTATTTTTTTTTAAATCTCAGTGTCTTCCCGGTTATCCCCCCAAATTCCAAACATCTTTCAAACATTCAAACCATTCATATACAAATGTTAGTATATAATATGACTACTATCATAATATTACTCTCATATTATATAATATTCTCAAGGTCTTCTAATAACATTCTTATTGAAAGTGGTTCCAGATCCATGACCCAGCTTTATATCTAGTTTAGTTTACCTAAACTAAAAAACCACCATATTACATCTTTACCCTGATTAGGGCTCCCTTATTTCAATTTAATTCTCCTTTTTAATATACAGGATATACCATTTTACAGTTCCAGATGTTAAATATATACATGTTTTCAATATTAAGGGGCCCTTCCTTGTTTTCCCTTTTTTCATCTTTCTAGGTAATTCCCTCTTTAATTTCTCTTTTCTCATTTAATATTTCTGTGTCTCTAAGCATTCTGCCATCTT